ATGGTTTCCTTTGAGTTGACCTAATGCAGGTTTCATATAGCTGCCTGTTAGGTATTTTTCACAAACTATATAGTATGTGCCTGTCTGAAGTCTCTTACAGTGTCATGTTGTAGCTGCTGTTTAACAGTGTTTGCAGTACTTCAACATACATTTGATTTTTTCTATTAAAAAAAAGAATACAAATAAATAAACATTCATCATTGCGGTGAATAAATAATGAATCTCCAGGTGTATTAGAGCACACTGTGTTTCACAGTGATATGTGCACTGACTGCAACAAAAGCCCTGTACCACAGCTCCAACACAATCCGTTTTACAGTGTTAGCAGTCTTGAAGATTACTGTATTAGTAATGACAGTGAGGGTATGTGCTATGTACCATTTAAAACCCACTACATTTGTACAACTGTATACACATTTGGTGAAGTAATATTCATTTGTCTAGTTAATTTGCTGATGGCTGCTGATGGCGGCTGATACTGGATACCCATCTCTCCTTATCCTCCTGGATCTGACTGCAACATTCGACACTGTCGACCATAACATTCTCCTTCAGCGCCTCGAACACACCATCGGACTCTCTGACTCCGCCCTGAGCTGGTTCCAGTCCTACCTGCCTACCAGCGATATGGTGTCTCAGGCCGAACCCAAATCCTTGTTATNGTCTAGATCTGTTTACGTTGAAGATTACAAGAAGACAATGACTCTTTGAAGACTTTCATGGCAGATTTAACAGAGAAGCTGACTCCTCAACAGCATAGGCATCACATCACGTCCCCTATGGTGTGCTAAGGGCCAATTTTACATATTGCAACTATAATAACAGTGGCCAAATTCATGTTCGAATATGCAATGCAAGCTTTGCTTCTGTATAGTAGATAGACTTACTCATTAGTGTGACAGAAGGAAAGACAACAACAATGATAGTAATGATTCAGTATCTATTTATTTAATCCTTTATTTGGCAGGGACAATGCTCAGTAATGAACACTTAAAACATTAAAATGCGTCAAGCATAACAGTGCCAGATTTAGCTTTGAGCTAATTTCCATCTGCAGTCCCTCACATAAAACATTTAAGAAAATTACATTTTACAAACATAGCAAAAACAAAATACATGATATGCAAAAAGTGCATGATGGTGACAGTGAGGAAGCATGTGGGATAGAGTCTGTCTTTATATATAGCTGCGTGTCATCAGCGTAGCAATGGAATGATATTCCATGCTTGCTGATGACACAGCAAAGGGGCAGAGTGTACAGGGTGAACAGAGTGGGCCCAAGGACCGACCCTTGAGGGACACCACAGGTGACAGGGTGTGTCTGGGACCTCGCACCTCCTAAGGAGACGTACTCTGTTCTTCCAGACAGGTAGGACTGGAACCAGCTCAGGGCGGAGTCAGAGAGTCCGATGGTGTGTTCGAGGCGCTGAAGGAGAATGTTATGGTCGACANATGAGGGCTGGTCCAATGTCCTTCTCAAAACTCAGAAGTGTGTCTCTTCCTGAAAAACCGACTGCTTTCTGCGCTTCCTCATCTGAGGGCACATTCACAGGGAAGAGACACACTTCTGAGTTTTGAGAAGGACATTGGACCAGCCCTCATGATGGCATGTCATCATGACAGTGATGCCATGCACTTAATGCGAGCAGCACAGGTGGTGCGCAAAGAGATCACACCATCGGACTCTCTGACTCCGCCCTGAGCTGGTTCCAGTCCTACCTGTCTGGAAGAACAGAGTACGTCTCCTTGGGTGGTGGCGAGGTCCCAGACACACCCTGTCACCTGTGGTGTCCCTCAAGGGTTGGTCCTTGGGCCCACTCTGTTCACCCTGTACACTCTACACTCTGCCCCTTGGCCGTGTCATCAGCCAGCATGGAATATCATTCCATTGCTACGCTGATGACACGCAGCTATATATAAAGACAGACTCTATCCTACATGCTTCCTCACTGTCACCATCATCGTCACCGCTCCCATCAACATCCCTTAACACCTGCATTGAGGAGATAAAGGCATGGATGCGAGAAAACTTCCTGCAACTAAATAGCTCCAAAACAGAAGGTATTTTGGTTGGAAAACCAAACCAGGTCCAGTCATTCCCCATAACCCACATTACCTTTTCTGGACAAAATATACCCCTCTCCACAGCAGTTACCAACCTGGGTGTTAGATTTGACAGACATCTAACCTTTGACACCCACATCAAACACCTGTGCAAAACCTCCTTCTTCCACCTCAGGAACATTGCAAAACTCCGTCCCACACTCTCCCTGTCAGATGCTGAACAACTGGTCCATGCCTTCGTCTCCTCAAGGCTTGATTACTGCAACGCTCTCCTCATCGGGACTCCTAGCGGGAGCCTTCAGAAGCTCCAATACGTACAGACCAGTGCCGCTAGGATCCTGATGAAGGTGAGAAAATACAACCACATCACACCCGTCCTTCATTCCCTCCACTGGCTTCCTGTCTCATTCAGGATCGAATACAAGATCGCACGACTGACCCATCAATGCATACACGGGAACGCTCCTCCATACCTGAAGGAACTTCTCACATCACAAACCTCCACACGCAACCTCCGCTCCACAACTAACCATCTGCTTCGCCCCCCTAGGACCAAACTCCGCACAATGGGGGATCGGACTTTCTGTGCAGCTGCTCCTGGTCTGTGGAATTTCCTCCCAGACCACCTGAGGACTCCACAGACCACTGATGCCTTCAAGAAAGGCTTAAAAACCTTTCTTTTAAAAAAAGCTTTTGATTAAACTTTTGTTTATTTCGTTTGTTTTTATTATGCCTCATGTAGCACCTTGGGATTGTTGTGAGCAATGAAAGGTGCTTTATAAATCGAATTTATTATTATTATTTCTCAACAAATTGTGGCATTCTAACTATTAACTGTGTAGTGACACTCTAGCTCTTCTATAGTAAGGGAGGTCAGACACACAGGAGTACGCTGGTTTTAAATGTTATGTAAATAAATACACATGTTTCTGATTTTTAATCTGTGACTTCAGGAATTGTTAAACAAAAAGAAGTTGGACTGAAGATGACTCCTTATTTTACAATAATTCCACAAAGCAAACAATGATAAATCTAAATCAGATGTATTCCTTGCAGAATTAACCGTTTTAGATACATTTCCGACAAGTAATAAATGAGTTAACGGTTATATGGCTGCTGCAGGTTGTAAAACATACTGGTGTTATCCGTGAATATATGTAAAGTTCCATGGGAAAAGTCACAATATGAAAATTATTATAACTGACAGTAGTAATTGGTACAGCGTGGGCTATTTGTGTGCATGAATCATCCTCCTCCATTCTCAACAAAGACAGCCGGTCCTATATGCATGTCAGTGATATTTCCTTTGAAATAACTAATTGAGGTGTGAAAATAGAAAGTAAGACTGTATGGCATGTGAAACTCAAAAAAGTTGTGTAAGTTGTATAATGAGAGAAGTGGAAATATGAATTGAAAAGAGATGACTGAAGTTATGGAGTTTATCAAGTGCCTATAATTAAATACAAATTACACCTTTAATTGGTATTATCCACAAATACAGTGGTTTGTTAACAATATAACATTGAAATGTGTGTTTTGGCATAAGGAGGAATACTTTTTCAACTTTTATTCATGACTGGAGAACTCCCGGTGCAGTTATAGCCTACATATAACCAATCAATAGCGTTTTCGAATAGCACATGAAAACACTTATTTCAAGGTGATAGTGGTAACATACTTCATCAGGCTGCTTATCACTGACTGATGGCCAGGAATCTACCTCTTCCCATGAGCATTTTAAACAGCTGCAGCTGGGTATATTAGTGATAAAATGGGTCGTGTGTACAGCTCAGGGACCTGCCCAGCCTATGTGCTAAACTGGGCACCCTAATGATATAAAAAGGCTGCATGTAACATTGAGTTACCTGTAAAGGCTAGAACTGTCCCCTGTGACATGGAATAATGTATTTAATGTGTTTTGGCTGTATGAGAAAATGTATTGCTCCCTGACTCCCACAGCAGCACAAAGATAAAGGGAAGGAGAGGAAAAATGAAGGAGAGAACAAAGAAAAGAAAAAACAAACATTGGAAACAGGAGAGAGAGCGAGAGAGAGGGAAAGAGGGAGGATGGCAGAAACCCAATTGAAAAAACGTGGAGAGAGAATAGTCAAGGGAGGACGGGAGGGAGGAGGGAGAAAACAGAAAACACTGTGTTTGCAAATCACAAATTAAAAGCATAAGTGTTCCCGTACAGACCACGGCCCCAGAGGAAATATAGGACTTTCAGCATAGCATTTTTTATTTCGAGTAGGAAGGTAGAGACAACCTCTTCTTGGCCTATACTGTCATAATTTAGAGCAGCAGTTAAGGATGCAAAACTAAAAATACTACAGCAAAATGACTTGGAAGATCATTCTGTATTTAACTATTTTTTGCATTTCTCTATCTGCTTCAAAGGTGCAAACCACAACAGTAAAGATGTTGCTATGAACAAAGAATGAAAAATAAACAAATAAAAAAGAGCTCATAGCAAAAGTTCTACAATTTTGTAACCAGTTACTTCAACAATAGCTAATATTACAGCTGTTTATCATGAACATGGATTCAAATTAGCAGGTATGCTTGCTCGATCATGGTGGTGTTAATTAGTTTTAATAATAAATAACCCCTGTACTGGTATAACCGCTTCAGGAAGAAATGTGGGAGATTCATCAAGAGTCAGACTCTGAATATATTGCAGCAGTACCTACAACACTAACTAATTAGTTGAACTAATCCTACCTTTCATTAAATGGTTTGCTTGAATGTAATTTGTAAATGAAGATCTTTGGCACATTAGGTGAAACTTGTACTGAATACTGAAAGTACTGTAGATGTAATGGGAAGGTTTTCAGCCCAAATTAAAGCAGAATTAACTTTTCGAAGATCACAGTGTTGCAGTCAAAGTGATATACCATATCATTAACTCTAAACAACAAGTACAATTCAACACTCACCACCCTGATCCGTGCTGACTGTGATGATGGCGACCGGGCGAGGGAAGGAGCTCATCTCTGACACACCGTTGAGGGACTCGATCTCAAAGGTGTAATTGGCGTGTGCTGAGAAGTCCATGACAGTGACCGTGGCATTGGTCAGACCTAACTGTCGTGGTAGGTAGCGAAGCTCCTCTTCACAGAACTGGCACTGATCTGGCTCGGGGCCACAGCGTTTGCACTGGACGTTGTAGGTGAGATCCCGGCGACCCCCAGTGTCGCTGGGGGGGGACCACTCCAGTATCAGAGAGGTGTCGTTGAGGTTAAACAGCAGGTTGCGGGGAGGAGATGGAGGACCTGTTAGAAGTAGGAAAAAGGAATGAAAAGCTAAAACAGTTAAAAGGTACTTTCACCTGTGGGATTTAAGCAGTACAGCATTTTATGGCTTCTAGGCCCACTGGCAATGAAACAATGTATTTTATTCTTTTGAAAAGATCAATATAAAAGCCTAGTAGCAGCTGAATTTAGACCCTAGTGAGGCTTCACATGATGTTAAATACGGATTTTATTCTGACCATCTATCCACTTGCTCTTTTCTGTACACATTCTGCCACTTTTCAATTACCATCGTTACATACAGGATGTCCAGGACTGGGAGTTTATATCGACCGACAGCATTTAGAATCCACAGAATCCTATTTGGTCTCCTATCTTAATATAGGCCCATACTTTTTAAGTGCTTCATATGGATGGAGTCTTCTTATCGGCAAACATTTTTTTCTTTGCTTATCTCTTTAAAAACTGACAGACATCACCTTATTGAACTGCAGACAATCACATTTTTTTTACTGTCTGCAAAAGTTTGCAAATGTCAGTGTGTAGTGTGGAGGCTCAGGACAAGGAAAACAAAAGAGAGGAAAAAATGCCAGACAAACAAAACAACTGGAATCCACTGTTTGCCTCGTTGTCATGGATTTTTAGGACACTCCACTGTCATCAAAGCAGTCTTAACATTAACCAAGCTACCCATATTATCATGCAGGAGAGATCACACACTACATGCACTAAAAAAAGCACAGGACCCAAAGTTGACCCCTGAGGAACACCTAATCTAAGACTGAATTCTAAATCCTCTTCATGAATATTTACAAAGTCTGGTAGTGTATACACAATTCACACAGGTACATTGTAGCATACACTTGATAATAATAATGCCCTACCAAAAAACTCCTCTGGAGCGAAGTAAACATTCATAGGTATTTCACCTTGCTTATGTTTCACTTTGCTGAGGTATTTTTGTGCTCTCTGAATGTGCGTGTGTTGGTGTGTCAGGGTAAGTATTGTGCTGTAGCAGGCGGCCAGCTGTCAACAGGGTGGAATTAAAAGGCCTGAGGGATTTGAACACTCCCATCCTGCCAAACTTACTGTCTGCCTAGACAATGGGATGCTTCCCTCACCTTCACCATCCCTTCATTCCTCTCCCTCCCTACCTTTGCTAAAAATCTCAGCAGACAGGAAAGCTCCTCCTACCCCTCCTCTACTTCTGTCAGCGATTGTACAATCTCTCTCTCTTTATCTCTTTCGGCGTCTATCGGCCATTATCTCACCTCCTCTATTCTCTCCATCGAGGAGAACCCACCCCTCCTGCAAAGCAACCCCACTGCCATCAATCAGCTCCCATTCTCCTCTAGGGGGAGATTGGTATCAGCACCCTCCTTCCTTTCTCTCTTCACTGTCTACACCATCCAGCCGCCTTTACACTTTCTCTTCACCTTTATCTCTCCTCCTGTGACATATTCTCTTTCTTGCTCTCTACCTTTGTTAACATACCCGTTTTATGTGCTAGCATACAAGCTCTTGATTAAATTGCATTATGTGAGTAAACACAGAACTCACAGCTTGTTAGGATAGATGTATTAGTCTACACCTCTGTTTGCCGGGTTGTCACAGTCCTACAAGCCTTTAGTTATACACAGTGCTTGTACCGGGAGAAAAAGCAGCCTTAGAGATTTAAGATTTTGTTTACCCTGGAAGATTTAGTTCAACAACTACCAATAACTGTTGAAGAACCCTTGAACTGACACCTAAAACAAGGTGTGCTTTATGTGTTGAGCCTGGTAATTTGAACTCCATAATTCAATGCTCACAAGTAGATAAATGATTAAACCCATTTTTAAAGAAGGGATTTAGGCTGGTGTTATAAAGACATTTACACTTTTTATATAATGTAGATGCTATGAACCATGGCTATTAATCAAATGTCCTCATACTAAATTATATATATTTCAACCTGACAGATCACTCATAATAATACTAGTTATTTTCAGCACTATTGAATATAATATCTTTCCAACAATATGAGACTGCTGTTGCACTGAAAAGGCCTGCAGGTATTAAATGCATAGATTGCTATGAGCAGAAGCAGGATGTTTCATCATCTGAGTCTAAATTTAGAGATGAAAATATTGCATGAGGAGTCAGCCACTATGAAGATTGTCTCTGCAATCAGTGCATCTCGCAGGGAACTGTAAACCCACAGCTTCTCCACAATAATTTGGCTTTGTGCTTCCATAAAAGACAAATACACTCTTTCACCCAGTGGAGCTCTCAGACGTGGCCCCCGTCTATCTCAGTGACAGCTAAATGGCTTTTTAATTAAAGGAGAATTAGTCCGGTTAAACTGTAATTTAATGCAAATATGAAGTCGTAATGACAGTCGGTGAATCATCAATGAAGACGAGGCAGCTGAACAAAAGCCATGTAATTCATCCAGAGACTCACTAATGCAGTTTCATACCAGATAAGTCTTGCAGACGAGACTGAATTTACGGCCACAGCTAATATTGAGAAACCACTGGAGTAATCCACCAACTCCAGAGACAAAGCAATAATTTACCCAGTATGTTCGGCCTACACAAGTATAGAGATCTTTAATGTGAGGCTCAAAGCTCCCCCATGACATAGCTCGCATCATAATAGTTGACTAAAAGCCAGGGAATCTATGTGCCTAATGAGTAATAGGTCATAAGTAATCATTAAGCCCCTGTTTGCTGGTATACTCACGTGTACAAGCCATGGATGGAGGATCTCTCTCCGCTCTGAAGAAGCCCGTCTCACAGCGGCAGATAGCAGCCCCTTCTCCATAGCTGAAACAATGCGGAGGGCACTTTGAACAGTTGATGTTTCCAGCATATGCCTTGAAGAAGCCTGGTTGGCATGCTGGGGGTGAGAGGAAGACAATATGTACACATTTGAGAAAAATGTATTTTAAATTCACACAGACACTTGACAGGAGGGTAAGGGGAGGAGAGAAGGTGGCGGCCATAACAGGACACAGGCAAGAATACCTATGTACACATCACATCCTCATAATGTTTCCCCAATGACATAATGTTTCAAACATATATTATTTCTTTAAAGTACACATTAAAAACCAAAAGGTATTGGAAAAGCTGGGTGTTGATAATCATCACAACTCAAGCATTAAAAATCTGCCCCTTCCTTCAGACTTCCTTACAGAGCCCCTCCTCCAACACACACGAATGCGCACATGACCAATGAGGGCACAAGATAAGTTTGTGCACGAGATGGAAGGCTGACAGTTAGGTAGGCAATCCAATTACCTGCCGCGGGCCGAGCAGATACTGTAATTGGTCTAGCTTTTTACAGCGCCACGGCTTCCACAGATGAAATATTTGTATATATTTATTGTCAAAGCATTTTTACATTACATTGCATTTAGCTGACGCTTTTATCCAAAGCGACTTATAATAAGTACATTCGACCAGGAAGATACAACCTTGAAGAAAACAGAATCATATAAGTACATCAGGTTTCATAGAGCCAAACATTTCAAGTGCTACTCAACTGGTTTTAGATAAGCCAGCCCTTTATTAGTAAGTTATGTGCTTTGTTAGTAATTCTATCGCTCGAAGTGGAGTCAAAAGAGATGAGTTTTCAGTCTGCACCGGAAGATGTGTAAGCTATCTGCTGTCCTGATTTCAATGGGGAGCTCATTCCACCATTTTGGAGCCAGGATAGCAAACCCACGTGTTTTTGCTGATGGGAACTTGGGTCCCCCTCGCAGTGCGGGTGCAGCGAGCCGTTTGGCTGATGCAGAGCGGAGTGCACGCGCTGGGGTGTACGGTTTAACCATGTCCTGGATTTAGGAAGGGCCAGATCAATTCGCAGCATGGTACGCAAGTATCAATGTTTTGAAGTGGATTCTAGCAGTTACCGGAAGCCAGTGAAGGGAGCGGAGGAGCGGGGTGGTGTGGGAAAATGTTGGAAGGTTGAAGACCAGACGAGCCACTGCATTCTGGATGAGCTGCAGAGGTCGGATGGCAGATGCAGGTAGACCAGCCAGGAGGGAGTTGCAGTAGTCTAGGCGTGAGATGACGAGAGCCTGGACCAGAAGCTGCATTACTTTCTGGGTCAGGAGGGGACGTATCCTCCTGATGTTGTAAAGCATGTATCTGCAGCAGCGGGTTGTAGCAGCGATGTTTGCAGTGAAGGACAGTTTGTTATCTAGGATCACACCCAGATTCCTTGCAGTCTGAGTCGGGGAAACAACCGAGGAGCCAATGTTGATTGTTAGGTCAACAGTGGGACAATCTTTTCCCGGAAGGAAAAGCAGTTCAGTTTTGTCAAGGTTGAGCTTGAGGTGATGAGCAGACATCCATCCATTTCATGTATTCATTGCTATCGGGATGTTAAGAGCATTCCATGGAATATAGCAAAAAGTGTTTCTGAAGTGAATTACCTCCTACCTTTAACAGTGATTGTTTTTTTAAATCAGAAATTCATAATTCAGAGGCTAGGATTTACAGATTAATTTCTTTTTAAATATGGAAATGTATGCAGAAAGTTCACTTAAATATAATGAGACCATCTGCTCTGGTTTTTGGAACTTTTACACTAAGTATTAACAATTATGATTCATATTGAAATGGTCAAACAGTTGACCTCTGCAGAGACTCAGACACCAATATTCCTAACTTTTAAACTTAATTTTTTACCTTGGAATCAGAAACATTTGCAATGCAAAACATTTTTAACACATATTTTTCTTCTCCCAATTTACACGCTAAAAAAAGTTTAATCCTGACGTTTCACACAGTTCAAGGCCTGATTAACACTACCTTCTAATTAGTAAGTCTCAATGAATAATTGACGCTGAATTATTAAATGTGATTTTAGAAAGGCATTTTTAAAGAACACATCTTAAATCACACTGGACAACTCACTGAAGGTGTTTAGTGTCTAGACTCTAGAAACTAAACACCTAGACTCTAGAGTGTTTTATTTTTTATCAAAAACTCATGTTAAGAAAGTTTGAGCCACTGTTCAGCCCAACTTGCTCTAATGTTCACTGACATTGTCAAAATGCTTCAGGACAATTTTCACTGTTCCAAAATAAAACAAGATCTCCCAACTAAATGACTTCGGACCAATTGCCCTTACATCTCATCATGAAGGTGTTTGAGTGTCTTTATATTTGAAATCCAGCACCAGCCCTCTGATGGATATGTTTTGTTTGCTTACAAAGCAAATAGGTCTGTTGAGGATGCTGTCAACATGGCAACCTCCACACTTAAAATCAACCTTAGCCCGCCTCCTGTTCATTGACTTCAGCTTGGCCTTCAATACAATAAACCCAGCCAATCTGTCCAATTAACTGTTGAACACAAATATTGACTTCCTTCATATGTCACTGGATCAAGAGCTACTTTAAAAAAAGGCAACATGAGGTTGATGATGAAAACTGTAGCACTTCACCCTGGACATTCTCCCAAGAGACAAACCACTTCACATCCCACCACAGCTCAGTCACCATTGTTTAATATGCACACCATACATCCATGTTTCATTAACAACAACAACAAAGACCGGTCCCGTGAGCAGGCAGCACAATCAGGCTCTTGGTGCCTTGATAAAAACTACAAACAAGACATCTAAAAGACAAAAATGTATTACAGATTTGGGCACAGCTGCCTCCCAAAAAACCCAATATATGTGTCAGGACTGGAGCAACCACACACAGCAGTGACTCAAATTACTTGGCACACACGTCAGGAACTCACTCGAACACCTGTGTAACATGAGTGTGTCAGCGCATACACAAACATATAATAAGGGCAAATGAAACCTTAATTGATATGTGGCTGCCTTGTGCACCTTATTCTGCAGCGGAATCTTTGTAAAAATAGAAAGTTAATAAACTCAATATTAGTCAACTAAAATAAACTCGCATTTGAGCTAAGCACTGTGACACAATATACTGTATCAGTCAAGTGTTAAAGCTGAATAAATAAAACATTGCAATACTACTTAACGTGAATATACTTACATACATACTGTAGGAGGGCAGGTACAAACAACATTATTTCTACATCTCAGACGTCAGGAGCATAAGATTAAATAGCAATTTTTTTCAATCATTTTTGGAGAGAATATGTTTAAAGCTTAAATTCCCAGAAGTCTTTTCAAACAGAGAAGGGTTTTATGCATAAAAAATGCTGCCAAAATGAGTCTCATCCAGCCCAAGCTGCTGAACTTATTCCAGAAGCCTTGTGTAAGAAAGTGTGTAATGAAGTAATGAGTTCTCTGTTGCTAACACATTCACACACAATACATGTATTACTATCAAACACAAGCTTTTTTGTAATACAAATGACAGAATGAATAGGAAAAGTTGGATTTTGTATCGCCATTGCATGAAAAAGATAAATCGGGTCTCCTTTCCTAGACTAAGTGAAATAAGGAGAAGAAGCAAGGAAACTCCTTTTTGTAAAACAAACATGTTAATTGAAGTAGGTGACTGCACCAGTGTGTGTTGATAAAACAGAAGGCATACAAGCAGTTTCTCTTCTTAAGAAAATTAACTGAAAAGCTTGCCCGGTTCTACACAAGTTAGACACATTAGAGATGGCTTTTAATTGCATTTTTCTGAACCTTAAAATTACTTCCACGTCACAGAGGCATGTAAAAGTCTCCTGCCTGGTGAGATTTCCATTGCTGCCGGTTGACACCAAGCCCATCGATTTAACAAGGTAACACAAGCTGAGCAATTTGAAGTGATTCACCTTGAAGCACCAAGTGCCTTTGTGTGTCTCCATGGCTGCCTGTGATAAATGGAGCTGTGGGGAGTACAAGGAAGCGTTTGAAACCACAACTTCTCTGATCAGATGGGAACAATTAGGACAGAGGCATGGAGGTTTACACAACCAGAACACACACATTTGGTGCAGACTTTTTCATATTTAGTTTTATCCGTAAAAAGAATGTTTAGTCATTTACACGTTTATTGGATTACATTTATTGGAAATGGCCAGCCCTATATCAGACTCTGTACAAGACTATTTGTCTTTTTTAAATCCTTGTTAGCCTCTAATGCAATTTAAATGAGTAAGAATAAAAGTAGTAGACATGTTAAAAAGGTGGACCATTGATCATTGATTCAATTCCAGTTCCAACATTTTGTCATTGATATTTCCCTTCAAAATCTTGACATACACACATACACGCACCATGTGCATCAGTATTATAAGTGGCCTCCCCTATGGCGTACCAAGGCTGCCTCTGTCATTAACCTCTGATACCGGCTTGTCCTTGAGTAAAAAAAAGTCATTCAACACCCCCACCCCACAAGACCCAGTTTTAGACTGTCAACCTAATGATGCCTCTGCCCGACCTTCACTGAACTGAGGGGATGTTCTTCTCCGCACCTCGCAGCGCCCTGCTGCAATCTGTCGGGCCAGACTCTGTTCCAAGGCCACAGTGGAGCTGTACAATGGCTGACCATGCATCACCCCAAGATGGACACACACGTGGTGGCAAGGAGGTTAGCACACACATGCTGGTATGGGCGCACACACAAATTGACAAACCGCTACACATGGCTTCAGCAGTGACAGAAAGAACGTTGAACTAGACGGATTGTCAAACGTAAATGAAGCCTGGAAATTTTACCTCCTGTGCGACAAAATGAACTCTATGAGTATAATTACAATCGGAACAATAAACCTTGTTATTTCCCTAGAGAATACGTCCAATCCATACAGATGAAAAATACTCAGTATTGGATAGAGTTTGCATGTTGGCTGTTGATGGACCGGTGTCAGTGAGTAGGGAGCCAAAACAAAAAGGCAGAGTGGAAGGAGGCAGCAGGGCAAAACTGAAAGGATGTCTTGTGTGTTGCTAAAATTAATCTCTTTTGTAACAATTTTATCAGGGTCACATTTAATGAAATAAATAGAGGTAGGGAACCATATCTGTGAAGCCCATATCAAAAGTGAACGCACTGACATTGCACATTCATAAAGCAATACATAAAGTTCTAAACCTTGATGATGCATAACATGATAACAACATCTTATATAATGTATTATATGGGTTGAATTACATTTGTTTATTAACCAAACTATGGTTGAGCTTATTCAAAGAAATTCTGGTTAAACAGTGTCATTGCAAATATGAAAAGAGAGATCGTGTCTGCATCAGCTGTACTAAGGCTTTTCGCATTGAGAGAATATATTGTACTGAATGGTGATCCTTACATCAAAGACTATGAGAGATATTCAAAGTGAAGTGAAGGTTACTCAGAAGAATCAGCAAACATCACAAAGAATGATTTATAATAAGCGACATTATGAAATGTAAGCTTTTATCAGTCACTGAATTCAAAACTTTTAATTTGACTACATGACTATCTATATTCATAAGAAATAGTCTAATTTGTTATATTCGATGTATCTTATAAAGTGCACTGTATATAAAACCTTAGTTAAGGCTTTAATAAATTACTAAAATGTGTTGCGCATACGTACATTACAATGCAGTATCCATCATAGATGTGTCTTATAGAAAGTTCTATAGAAGACAAAACAAAATCTTGTATAAAGTATGTTGTGTAGATTTCCTATAAATAATACTTGGAAATGGGAGAGTTTGAGGATGTACACTTCATTATATACTGAACACACTTCTAAGGCAACTATCAGAGGGTGAGAGAATACTAACCTGACCCAGTGGCCGTGGGGGCTCTGATCTGACTCTCAGTATTCAGCCCAAAGTTAATGAGATCTGGAAGTCATCCAGAACATCTACATCTCAGAGCAGGCCCTGAGACCCAGAGGCGGCAGGCTGGTTTGTGAGGCACGCCGCTTCCTACACACTAGACCTTAACAACACCAGAGCAGCTGGAAGGCAGATCATGTAGAAGAAATACCTGTCTGTCTCCCTCCACCTGTCTCTGTACTGTCTACATTGTACTGTACTGACCATCTGCTGAAACTCACGCTTTACAACATCAGGAGGATACGTCTCCTCTTGACCCAGAAAGCGACGCAGCTTCTGGTCCAGGCTCTCGTCATCTCACACCTAGACTACTGCAACTCCCTCCTGGCTGGTCTACCTGCATGTGGCATCCGACCTCTGCAGCTCGTCCAGAATTCAGCGGCTCGTCTGGTCTTCAACCTTCCTAAATGTTCCCACACCACACCGCTCCACCGGCTTCCAGTAACTGCTAGAATCCACTTCAAGACAATGGTACTTGCGTACCATGCTGCGAATGGATATGGCCCTTCCTACATCCAGGACATGGTTAAACCGTACACCCCAGCACGTGCACTCCGCTCTGCATCAGCCAAACGGCTCGCTGCACCCGCACTGCGAGGGGGACCCAAGTTCCCATCAGCAAAAACATGTGGGTTTGCTATCCTGGCTCCAAAATGGTGGAATGAGCTCCCAATTGACATCAGGACAGCAGATAGCTTACACATCTTCCGGCGCAGACTGAAAACTCATCTCTTTCGACTCCACTTCGAGCAATAAAATGAAAAAATGAATAAATATTAAAAAATAAAATAAAATAAAAAGCACTTACATACTAACAAAGCACTTACATACTAACAAAGCACTGGCTTATCTAAAGCCTGTTGAGTAGCACTTGAAATGTTTTGGCTCTATCAAACCTGATGTACTTATATGAATCTATTTTCTTAAAGTTTGTATCTTCTTGGTCGAATGCACTTATTGTAATGTAATGTTGTAATTGTATTGATTCTTTCTGATATTTGATCAATCGAGAAACTCTATAAAACATGTGTCAAACTGCGTGAAAACAGGGGTGAAACCAATTTGTTCAACTTCATTGGAAAACTGATGGAACAATAGTATAAGAATTATGTCTATAGCAGACAATTGTACCCAAAATGATTTGTGTCCAAATGCCAACATTCAAAGCCAGTGTTCCCTATACTGAGGCATAATCAATGATGTATAAGATTGAATGGTGTATAATAATACATACATAATAATAAATTATACTTACAAGTGCTCAAAGACGCTGGTAAAATAAAATCCCTGGTCCAGATATGTGTTGCATTTCATAACCTACTAAAGCTATCTTCCTAAATCAAATTCCTAAAAATGTCTCAAACAATATATGCATGCATGAAACAACATGCTTTAATCTTAATTATTGTGAATTGTTTGAATATTTGAGGCTCTAATAACCCTAAATTATTGCAGTTAGTTTTTTGTCCCATATGTATATTTGGGTTGTAAAAAAAGACATTGAATACAATATAACATTTTATCAGTGGCAATAATTCCAAGGCAACATGTTCTGTATGAAAGCACATTATTGTTTAAGTTTGTGTGTGTGTGTGTGTGTGTGAGTGTGTGTGTGTGTGTGTGTGTGTGTGTGTGTGTGTGCGTGTGTGTGTGTGTGTGTATGTGTTTTTGTGTGTGGGGGTGTGTGTGTCTGTGTGTGTGTGTGTGAGTTGGCTATCGCACATGAGAAAATCACACTCTCTGTCTCTTTGCCATGCATAGCCGAGGAAGGTGGGTTCCTCTCCAGGTGGTCAGCGAAGAAGAACAATTCCAAGAGGAGCACAATTCTGCAGCATTTACTTGCAGGACCACATCAACAAATGTTGCAGAATAGTTCAGCTCTTGAAATCAAAGGCAGCGCGGTGAGGAGGCGAAGCAAAGGATGAGAGATCATTGCAGAGATGGTGGCGTTATAGGCGAGATGCAGGCTGGAACTTATTGCATATGAAAAAAAAAAAGCAAGCCTATTTTCAGTTTCAGCCGAACAAACATTACCCTCCTCAGTTTATAACAGCTATGAAACAATACAAATAAAAGCCTTATTGCTTTTCCCTGTGATGACACAGTACACATCTTGTCTACACATATCTTGTATATTATCAGAGTGCCTCATCCTTATCTTCCTCCATACATAACGATATTCATCATACTTCACAAGGGGAACCTTATTTTCCTTGCTCATGGGACATCAGATTGGCTTCCAAATAAAATAAAAAGCCTGGCAATTCGAGTGAAATATGATACAGTACCATGATACAAATCAGAAAACCAGTATTAGGTTCTCTCATATATGTGGTGTAATATCACTAATCTCACATACAAGTACACATTCACTGCCTCTCGTCGTGACACACTATGCAGCCCCTCCTAACACCAGAGATAGGGAGAAGTCACACCTCTCTACAGCTTCTGGGTTTAATAGATTCACATTCAATCAGGAACAACATTCTAAAACACTTGAAATGTAAACACCTCCTCTATACTCGGTGTCAGTGCGTCCCATCAGCCTTTGCCTCTCTTCATTAGCTCAAAGCACTGAGCGCTATCTCTGATTTGCACTTGAGGATTAGCGGCCCTCTCAAACACATCTCTGCCAAAGTGTTCAGAATGGTGTTTGCTCATTTAGTGAAAAGAGGTGACTGAAAAAGGAAAGAGGAAAAGGCCATGGGTGTGAGAGAATTTTCTTTCCTTAATTATAATATCAGACTATATTGTACTCATCAACATCATAATCAGAAATCAATATTTCAGCTTTAAAACTAATTTCTAAATAAATATAAGGTCATTATTGCAAACCATTCACTATATAAATGTATTCCTTTATGGACCCTCTTGTGACGGTTGGGAATGGTATTTAGTAAAATGATGGTTTAATGCATTGCATTAGGGTTTGATAAAATCCAATGACTGGAGATTCATGATTGGTGATCACAGGTAATGGAAGTAATACGCTCTTTTAATGCAGGCCGTTTTTGTAAGAAGGAAAAAGCCAATACTATTAACAAGGATAATAAGAGCTAATTATCTCTCCCATTGACAAAAGGCAGACTGGGGGTGTCTGAGATGTAATAAAGGATTTGAATCGCTTACACTTGGAGCTTTTCAGCGCCATAAAATCACTGTCTAGTGCAATGTCTACTTCTACTTTAAGAGAACCATGTTTTTGTTAAATACGAATGCCCTTTCTGCCTCTCAGGACTCTCCCCCTTCTTCGGGCTGTTTTCATTGCGGTATTTTCCCTTCCATTCCTGATGTGTCTTTCTTTACATTTTGTACAACCACTCACCCCTGTTTAGTTGTCTAGTCATTCCCATCACCTGACTCTGTTCCCTCTCTGCACACCTGTGTCCTTTATTACTTATTTTATCTTTAAAGATAGATTTTTGTACAGAAGTTATGTTTACAATACTCATTTAAACGCAGTGTGTATAACTGTTTTTTAAATCCATCATGGGTAACATCCATGTTTACTTCTCAACCAGCATGTGTCCTCTCAAGGCATTTTTAGATATAATCCTCACATACTAATAGTTGAAAATTCGTGAAGCAAAATCAAGCAAAATGTGTTAATGTTGTTATGCGATAGAAATGGCCTTGCACATTTCTTCATTTCAGGAACATTAATCTAAGCATCAGCAGAGAAATCATGCATCAAATGAATGTATTCAACACAAATATTAAAGTTTCGATA